GCATTCTTCTGAATTTGGCACCCTGATTCTCCTGTGCCTCCCCTAAGCTCTACCACTGCTACGTAGCACTCTGAGCAGTCAGAGACACACCATAAAAACAGCACATCCTCAACGTAAAAATAAAATTATCTTTGTCCTGACTGGAGAGAAGGTAAGAAGGTCACCAGAGCAGGATAAGATAGGGACTACCACAGTGCACTCAGCATTCCATGTGATAGGACCCTACGGGTCCAATCTTCTTTGGTCAAGGTGTGCTATGCCACAGGGGTCTTCAGGAACTCAACTCTCCAGCTAGGGATCACTTCCCTGAACTTGTCCAGCACTCAACCAGTCTGCATGGCAATATAACATTGCACAGGGACAATTCCTGTAGGGTGCAGTTGCAGCTGTCCAAGCACGTTCAGTGTGATAGCAATGCTGTAAGCATAGAAAACCTGTGGAAATGGATCTAGAAAAAGCCAGTCTCCTAATCCGAGAAGGAATTAGCTATTTATTGTGCAGAACCTGCACAGACATAACCATCATCTAAGACACAAAACTGAAGCCAAGTCTAGCTGGGAGGGGTTATGTCTAGGAGGAGATTTCCTGTCTTTTTTTGCCAATGTCCAATCACCTGAAGGTGGCAGCAAAACTCTACTGTAATGGAAATAAAGATACCCTATGCCCTGGGATGTACAATAACGAAAAATATTACCCTTGCAGGGTGTCCTGTTCCCCACTGCAAAGGTTAATTGCTTACTTTTACCCAGGGCAGGGTTTCAAGGGGTCAGTAATGGTCACATGAAAAAAAGCAAAAACATTTACATTCACTATACAGCCCTCCTTGTCCCAACAAATGGTTTCCCATTGAAAGAAATGAAAGAAAACACACTCTGACAGTGCTTAATGTGCAGACCGCTAAGTGTTTTGACTTGTTGTAGGCCCATGTTTATCATTTAAATTTGTATCATTGTTCTCTACACAACCACCATCTTGTGCCATTCCATAATAGAAAGTGCTAATTCTAATTTTCTAGTAGTAGTAGATTTGAGCAGAATTAAAATTGTTTTGTTTAATTTGCACAAGATGATTGTATTTCATTATTGTAATGAGCGGCGATTACTTTTTGCATGAAAAGTAGTACAATTTTATTATGAAGGTTTACTTTATTTAAACATTGTGTGTTCACACAAAGTTGTGTTTATGTGAAAATTTCTGGGGAGGGGGTCCACAGCTTTTATCAGATTCTTAAAGGGTTCCATGACACAAAAAAAGGTTAGGAACCACTGATATAGAGGATCATGAACAGGGTGACATACTTACCTATTTCTGCGCTCCTGCAGGCCTCCTCTTCTGTGTGCAACTAGCAATTATCTCATACAATGCAATCCAGTGGAGAGCACTGGCTCTACGAAAATTCAGCTTTACTATTTTAATTGAAATAAAACTGTAAAACTATAGACAACAATTATCTCTTTGCTCCATAACAAGGGTCATCAAAAATATTGATAAACTAAAATAAATACTCACGCCCTCACATCTTGCATGACGTTTTTGGACTGCGCAGATCCAAGAAAACAAGCAGGGATGTTTGACATTCTAACATTAAAGAGAATCACAATAAAATAAGTGTGCACAAAAGGAATATATTAAACTTTAAAGAATATTTTTTGCAAAAATTATCTCTCTTATGCTTTGGATTGAGTCAGAAACCGTTTATATTTACATCTGTAATCCTGATTTGTGAATTTTGCATTACTTTCAATGTATTGCACAAGAATTATAAATTAAGGAAAGTTTCCCCAATGGGACAATCTCAGTTTCTCCATTCAAAACTAAACAAAAACATTCATTAATCATGAAAACATTCCAGAATATGTAGATATCGTATATTTCCAGCAGCTAACATGCATGAAATACTGCCAGAGATCTGAAGCCAATAAACCCCAAACAGTGCAGAAAGTGAAACATTAAAAAGTTATTATAAAGCAGCAGTGGTCTTAAAAAGGGAGACATTCTTAGAGGCTTGTATATATCTGTAAACATTTTTGAGTACTCTACAGTCCCTAAAAATCCTCCTCTGGTATGCAAATGCAAATTATGCTTTCCAAAGTTAGCGGTTAGTCTTACCTTCCCTTTGAGGCAGTATTTGCTTCTCCAAGAATTCTGATTTTAGGGGAAACATGGTGTTTGAAAATACATTTGCACTTAAAGGCATAGTTCACCTTTATCAAAAAACTGTCTATGCAGATAAGGGACACCTGTGGTAAAAACAACCTGTGCAGCTTTGACCAAAGTTCAATAATGTCTTTGCTACCATTTGCATACTTTATGAAACCTGACTGGAAAATTTCTAGGACGTTGCTAAGAGAAGCCTAGTGTTACTGCTCGCCTACATCATAACAGGGTAAGCTCTTTCGCTGATACGAACCCCTCAACTGTGCTGTCTCTCATCTGATGCAGTAGCTCTGAGCTCTCTCCTGTGATGGAGAAGGTGAGCAGTAACACTAGACTTCACTTAGCAACATCCTTAGCAACGTCCTAGAAGTGTTTCAGTCAACTTCACGATGTAAATGACCTAGATCTATAGCAAGGGCATTATTCAACTCTGGTCATTGTTGCACAGCTTGTTTTTATACACAGATGCCCTTTATCTGGCAGTTTTCTTTGTTTTGGAAGATTGTACTCACCCTTTCAGGATGTCAGGTTTTTATAATAATTACTGGTTATTGTTGGTTTATGATATGATAGAAAAGTCTGCCAAAAAATTATTTCTGCCCACAAGTGAAAATTCAGTACTGGGTGGATGTTATAAACGTCCACCCGCAATACGGAGTGCATGTCAGTGCCGATTTTTAAATGCAATTTCTGGCTTTTTTTTTTCTTCACTACAGCTCACAGAATTAGCGGTCACTTTCCTCGGAGTTAAAGAAAACTTTGTTTCTTTTCAGAAACTAAAAGGAAACATGGTTTCTTTTAACTAGGGGAAAAACTAAAAGGAAACTTTCTTTCTTTTAGCTGGGGGGAAAGTGACAGCTGAATCTGTGAGTTATACTGAAAAAAAAAACAAAAAAAAAAAGGGTAATTACATTTTCAAAATCGGCACCATATTAAATAAAACAATGTTGTGGGGTCACCCCTCCATTCATACCAAGCCCTTCGGGTCTGGTGTAGGTTTTGAGGGGAACCCCCACGTCAAATTTTGGAGAAAAAAAAATGGCGTGGGGGTCCCCTCCTCCCCAAGATCCATACCAGACCCTTATCCGAGCATGCAAGCAAGCAGATCAGGAAAGACCCCCCCCCCCCCCCTCCTGAACCATACCAGGCCACATGTCCTCAACTAGGGGGGGTGCTTTGGGGCAGGAGGGCCCCCCCCCTCCCTAAGCACCTGGTCCCCATGTTGATGGGGACAAGGGCCTCTGCCCCACAACCCTGGCCAGTGGTTGTGGGGGTCTGCAGGCAGGGGGCTTTTCGGAATCTGGAAGCCCCTATTAACAAGGGGGCACCCAGATCCTGCCCCTATGTGAATTAGTATGGGGTACATGGCCCCTCTATTCATTCACAAAAAAGAAGAAGTGTAGTGTGACTAAGGATAGGACACGATCTTTGGCAAGTCCTTTATTAAAAGAAAAAAACTAAAAGAATGTCCCCTGCAGTAGATCCAATGTCAATCAGGATGTCTGCCGCAGACCCGAAAAAAGAATGAAAAAAAAAAAAAAAAAAAAAAACCAAAAAGGCTCCGCTCCCGTCCTGCTCCGCTGGCTTGACAGTTCTTAAATATGTAGGGGGCGGGGCCACCCAGTGACATCACGCATGTGGTCCGACCTCCTTGTGGCTTCATCAACTGGGGCATGCTGGGTCAATGATGTCACAAGGAGGTGGGGCCACACGTGATGTCACTGGGTAGCCCCGCCCTTACATATTTAAGAACTGTCAAGACAGCTCAGAGGCAGACAGCTGGGAGCGGAGACTTTTTTTTTTTATTATTCTTTTTTTCGGGTCAGCGGCAGACATCGTGATTAATGTTAAAATCTACTGCGGGGGACATTCTTTTAGTTTTTTATTTTAATAAAGGACTTGTCAAAGACCATGTCCTGTCTTATTTCACACTACACTTTTTGTTTTTTGTGAATGAGTAGCGGGACCATGTACCCTATAGTTATTCACATGAGGGGGGGGGGGCTGGGATCTGGGGGCCCCCTTGTTAAAGGGGGCTTTCAGATTCTGATAAGCCCCCTGTCCGCAGACCCCCACTACCACCAGCCAGGGTTGTATGGAAGAAGCCCTTGTCCGCATCAACATGGGGACAAGGAGCCTTGGGGGAGACCCCTCCCTGCCCCAAAGCACCCCCCATGTTGAGGGCATGTGGCCTGGTATGGTTCGGGGGGCGCTCGCCCATCTCCCCCCTTCCTGACCTGCTGGGCTGCATGCTCAGATAAGGGTCTGGTATGGACCCCCACGCAGGGCTTGGTATGGATGGGAGGGGGGACCCCAAGCTGTTTTTTAAATTATTTTTTTAATTGACAGCAATTTATTTCTTTTACATTCAGCTGTCAGTGGGGAACCCCGCTGACAGCTGAAACATTAACACATGGTTGTCACTACTAAAATACCGCATGACTTGATAAAATAACTCATGCGGTATTTTAGTAACGTTTACCTTTTTCTGACCTCTGGAATGGATTAATTGGTTTTCAATGCATTCCTATGGGAAATGGCATTTCGGTTTACAAATTTTTTTGCTATACGAAAAGTCCCGTAGAACAAATTCAATTTGAAAACTGAGGTATGCCTGTATTTCTAACCAAGCAAAACATTCAGGTCTCTGGGCAAATTCTTCACAGGACCACATAGACAATATAACATGTGGGCATGGTTATGTTTCTGACACTGTAGCTTAGCAACACAAATATATTTGCAACATGGCTTGACAGAAGACGATTAACCAGGTGCATAAAGAAATTCTCACAGAAACAAAGCAAAGAAGACATCTGCACAGAGTATAGGAGCAGCACTTACTCTAGCTGCAACACTTGGTCTTCCATGAGTGAAATCAGGGGACAGATGACAATCCCAATACCAGAAGTGTAAACTGGTGCAAACTGATAGCATAAACTCTTTCCATAGCCTAATGGGAAATAAATAAATAGAGTAACTTACACAGACTGAATCAACATATTTTAAAGTTGACCCAAAGTATACTAGCACGGTGTGTTCTAAGGCACTGTTTCAAATGAATGCTAGTCTCAGGTGATTTTGAGTAAGATTTGATATCACTGCTGTACTGCTCACTGCCCTCCTTGCTTGAGGCTTGGATAGGAGGAAAAAAAGGCCTGCTGGTCTAATATGTTCCCCTCACAGAGAAATGTAGTGCAGAAAAAAGCATGGGAAGTCAATAACTGGGAAAAGATCGGCTGCAGGTATACCACAAGTATTACTGATAAGTTCTTAGCTCTCTGCCTGACATTTTTGGGCATTAAACTAGGTATTATTTGGTAAACTAAATCAGGTTATTTAGTAACCCTGTTCTCTGTATTGTGCTGTACTAGCTGACTGATCATAAATGCATTTGCAACATTCTACAAAACATTCCTGCTATCATGTCATAAGTCTGGATAATTAAAGTGGAACTTTAGTCAGAAAATTACGTCCTGCTAGATCACTTCATGTTAGCCCCTTTTGTAGGTATACCCATGTAAAACATTAAAAATATGTGCCTATACTGTTTAAATTCCAGTAATACATTGCCTCACCCTGCTCTGCACATGCTCAGTTGCTCTCTAATTTTCAAAAATGTAGAGGCCGATCTTCTGACAGCCTAAACATTTCCTGCTGCTCAGGGGCTCTGGGCTTCAGCAAAATGGCAGCCTCTGGCAAGAAGAAAAAGGAGCAATGCTGGAGGCTATTTACAGCACTCACTAATTTTGGGTAGCATGCTTGCTCATTAATGAGAAATGTATGTTCCCTACCAAAGAACATTCATTTTATTAAAGTGGTCGTAAACGCTTCTTTAAGAAGTTTAACTACAGTTTTGATAGCTGGTGTATGTGCTCTGAAGGAATGTGCCGTTCCTTCAGAGCACTGTGCCATAGCCCGGGATTCCTGCGTGAATGTGCGTAAGTGACGTTATCGCGGCTTGGCCAGTCTGCCGGTCAGAGCTCATGAATCCGGAAGGAAGACCGGGTGAAGATGGAAGCTCCAGGAAACCATAACAGGGTTCAGCTGGAGGGCTTCATTTCAAGGTAAGTCCTTCATAATGTGCTAGTATGCAATGCATAATAGCACAATATGCCTTTACCTTGCAGTGTTTTTTTTTTTTTCTTTTTTTTTGGATGCGGCTTACTACCGCTTTCAGCTGCTATGGGTAAAGTGCTGCTTAAAGACAAGTAGTACCTGCATAAGGACTAGTATTACGCTCGGCTGGAATCTTGTTCAAAATTATGCAGCACAAAAGGTGCAGCCAAAATCTAGAAAACTAAAACTGACTATACTTAGAAATTCAGCCTATAGGCAAAACAGAAAAATCTCCACGCAAGTTACACTGCATGGACAGTCAAATATCTTGCTGCATCTACAGCTAAATGGATGAAGGCACTGTTAAGCTGACAATTTTCCATCTGCCACTGAAATTTGCATAGTGTATGGTTAGCTTTAGTCAGAATTTACATCCATCAGATGTAAAAACACAACACAAATCTCAACTTAAATTCATAAAATAAGGGAAGAAACTGCTCCTCACATATGACAAGCTTTGCATTAAAACAGGGTTTTCACTTTTGGATAGTAAACTTGCTAATAACACATTCCCTCTTCATATTGTAGTTATGCCATTAGAAGAGCATGATCACATTGGGGTTGATTTACTAAAACTGGAGAGTGCAAAATCTGGTCCAGCTGTGCATGGTAGCCAATCCGCTTCTAACTTCAGCTAGCTCAATTAAAGGATATGTTCACCTTTCTGCAAAATATAATAAATGCAACTTTTTTGCAGGTAAAAAAAAAAATGTGCATTTATTATTTTTTGTGTCAGGAGCCAGTAAAGCATTGCACCAGCGATCAGTAGATCGCGGATGCCATGTAGGTCTCCTGCACAATGTCAGTGTATCTGCTTGCTTGCACATCCCATATGGGCAAGCCGATATTTGCTGACAGTGAAGACTCAATGAACTCCCAAAGCACCCACAGTGCCATGGTAGTTCATTGAGGACTACAAGCCGACAGCCACTAAGACTGTCAAGACTTATAGTCCATTCATTCACAGAACACAGTGAATGAATGACGTGGCCATGTGGGCGGAGCCCCGCATGGCCAAGCTGTTTTTGAAAACCGACAGCTAGTACGGGGAACTTCTTCTCATAGTACTGTCACAGGGAGGGGAGGCAGCAGCTGCAGGATCGGGAACATGTTACATGTTCCACCCTAAAGCTGGCCATACACACGTAAGGTTTTCGGATGAGGATATTCGTACAAAAAAACTCGCTACTTCGAATTCTCCCATCACTGCGGTCGAAAACATATCGATCTGACCCCAATGACGATTAGAAAAAAAATTAATACTCTTGAAATGAAAATTCTCAAACGAAAATCTACACGTGTATGGCCAGCTTAAAACCTGTTGGAACATGCAGCAGGTTTCCAAAAGTGAATTAATCCTTTAATCTTTGACAGAAAAAAAAAAAAAAAAAAGAAGCAGATTGGTTTCTATGCAGTGCTGCACCAGATTTTGCGCTCTCCAATTTTAGTAAATCAACCTCATTGTATAACAAAGCTTCACTCCCACCAGCTGGCAGACATATACTGAAAGAACAATCCACTGTTGTTCAAAAGGAATTAGGTGAAAGTGAACACAATTATCTTAAAACAATTTAGGACAACTCTACAGATTTGGCAAGAACCTGTAATGCCAACACATAAAAGCTGCCATTGCTGATCACTCTTGAAAATGTAATTTCCTAGCGGTTTTGCAAATCCAAAGACTTTAGTACTTTCTAAATTATTTATTCAGGAGTTCTGACTTCTGTCTTTGCTGATTTGCATGTTTATTCTGGGTCAGTGATTTAGTAAGTCTGAAGCCAAATGTGGCCAGAAATAGAAGCCTCCACATTTCTTGTGACAGATTTCTTTTAATTGGAACTGGAAGTATTGGAAGTGTTATCTATTGATTTTCACAGAAGTTAAAGAAGAAGTCTAACATGTTGCAGCATCGGCAGCCTTTCCCCCAATCTTCCTTCCCTGTGACAGTAGGTGGGGGATGTTCTCCCTGCTCCCGCTGCCTAAAATTGAAAACAGTGTGGCTGGTCATGTTATTCATTCAGTTTCCTCTGAATGGATGGACTACAATTACCATCCTCCACTGCAGCAGATAGCTTTTTAGTTCTCAATGAACTACGAGGGCGCTGGTGAGCGCTCTGGTAGTTCATTGATCTTCCTGCTCTCAGGTACCTGCCTGCCGGTACAAGGTAAGGGCAGACAACTATACTGAGTCTGCAGGAGCCTAACGTTGCATCTGAGATCTTTTGATCACAGGTGCAATGCTCTGCAGGATCCTTAAAAAAAAAAAAAAAATTTTTTTTAACCTGCAAAAAAAATTTGCATTTATTTTTTTTTTTCAAACAATTAACTTAAAGATTCTATTTATCAAGCAAGAAAATATTTTGTGCAGTACTATAAAGGCAAAACAATATAAATATATGTGCGCAACTAAGAAGGGGGCTAGAACTTCCTTTGTGTTCCTTATCCCATGTCCCTCCTGTTTTTCATTCCATGTGTTACATTCCCTCTCCCTGCTATAAAAGACTGAGGAAACCGAAAGTGACTGATGCTGCAGCCAAAGCCTGATTTCCTCTACACTACTGTGATGCAGAGGCTGACTACAGAGACCATTTATAGAAATCACTGTCTTGCGCTGTTATTGCTTCAGTGCAGCACTGCATTATAATGCGTTTACCTGTTGCCATGACAACAAGGTTGTCTCTTCTGTCTTTTAAAACTGAATGAATGACTTTCCACTGAACTCTGTTAAAGAAAAAATGTTATAGTTATAATTGCAAAAATGGAACAGAAGATTTAATGAAATTAGTAATTACAAAAGCAGCTACAGGCAACATTTTTTAGTAACTGAGGTACTAGTGTTATCCAGGAAACACTGCTGAAGTCAAAGGGTCCACTCAGCTTATCCTAAAGGGAATCTATGAGGATACAAATATGGCCATTTCTTGACTTGCTTTCAAAAGATGTCCTGAACCCAACATCAGCACCTAGTGAGTAACTGATCTGGGAGTGTTATCTATATGACATATTTTAATAAATAATATATAAACTACTATAAACACTGAAGTGATGTGAAGTAAAGTGATGATTAATTGAATCTGCTTACTTATTATATATAGTGTGATAAAACAGAAACAACAGTCTATGATCTACTTATGATCAATTTCATGCTGGTTGGATATCAGGAAAAAAAGCTTTTGAGCTTTGTTCACCTAACTATCCTATTTCTGTAAAGAAATGGCAATTTTATTACAAAGCCAAACAAATAATATTTATAGTAAGATACAGGAACAGTATGGTTACTTTGTTTATCATATTGGAAGTTAAAGTATACATTTTTACGTGTGCATCAATTCTTAGCCCTGATCAATATGCCTTAGGGCTAGTTCACTACACATGCATTCCAGTGCTTTTTTTCTGCATCCAAAATGCATAGAAAGTTCCGGTTCCCAAAAAAAAAAAAAAAACATGCTGCATTTTTCTTGCACAGAACTGTACTAAACCATGGTACAATGCATAAAAAAGCACTGAAATGCAGTGGAAGTACAGTGGGAAAAAAAGCTGGGAAAAAAATCATCTGGAACACATCCGAAAATGCATCAAAAACACGTTAAAAGCACACATGCAGAAACACATTCGGAACGGATCTGGAGTGCATTTTTGTGCTGTGAAACGGCCCTTAAAGTGTAAACCCTAACAGTGTGCTGTTTATTTGCTCACTTTTGGTCTGTTAAATATACCATCAAAATAATTTTGTTATATCTTTTTAAAGGGGTAAAAAAAAATACTGTGGATCATTACAGAAATGTACTTGAGAGAGCTGTCCTATGCTTTCTATTGCTGTTATCTCAAAGGATTTACTTTTAGCCCTTTTAGTTCTCATTTTGGACTATAAGTGAATTAGTCCTATAAGCTGGCCATTCATTACACAATTTTCATGTTCAATTGCCTTTAGATTTACCTTTAAGTATGTACTGCGAGGGCCTGTCTGATTGCATACAAATTAAACGTGTTTAGGTTTGACCATATATTATAAGGTTTTGGTAAATCTAAAGGAAAATTGTATAATTTACGGCCAGGTATGGCTTAGCTGTGAATAAGAAAGCAAAGGTTGTGGCTTAGCAAAAAAACATGGGCAGAGCTAGCACCCCTAAGTTCATAATGCATGTTCATAATGTGTGTTGTCATACCACAATTGAAAATTAGTAGCTGAACGTCATTCTGTCAGATCAACTTTTTTTTTTTTTTTTTAGTATGTTCTGGGTATTTAAAGGTATAAAACATAGTCTGATGTATTGCAAAGATGTACTGCATTCATGTTTTTCTGCTTTGACATATGCTTTCATTTTTAAATTACTGCAAGTATTATTTATATATCGGGCACTAACTAGGTCCAAATTAGGATAATAGTTACTATGGGTGGTAGTGCTGGCATAACTCAAGCTGGCTATACATTATACAATCTCCTTTAAATCTACCATCAACTATGTATTGCAAGGGCCATCCTGATTGAATAAAACTAAATGGATTGTTCAGGCAAGTCCTTATGTCACATACTTTTGGTAAATTTAAATACGATTATGCCAAAATTGTACGATCTAACTGTATGGTGCAGGGTGTACGGAATTAAAATTCAAGGAGGCCTGGTCATTAAAGCTTTCTTCCAGCAGAGGGCTGAAATTCATGTTTGTGCTAGGAGTCAGATCCTAGTATATAAATGTTTATGTCTAGCAAAAAATAAATGTACTTTCCATAGCATTTCAAAAATACTGTATTTTTGTCAATTTTTAGAGTGCCCTCTTACATCAGTTGTCCCCATCAGAGTCCCCCTTACATCAAATGTCCTCATCAGAGTGCCCCCTTATATCAGTTGTCCCCATCAGAGTGTGCCTGTACCTTTTAGCATCAGGAAGTCAGAGGGCGGGAAACGGCAGAAAGGGCTGCAGGTCTAGAAGGAGGATGTTCCACCTCCATTCTCCTATGACACTGGGGGTGGGTCATACATCTGACATCATTTTTAGGATCACAGCAGTCCTAACAACCAATAATTGCAGTGGAGTGGGGGAGGGGGCATTCACTGAGGACTGGCTGTATGGCGGCCCAGATAAAACTGTCACTTTTTGTATAATCAAAGTTTAATTAAAATTTTGGTACAAGACAACAGTACATAAAGAAAGAAAAAGAAAAAAAAAACAGCAAACATACATATAAAAAAGGCAACATTAGCAAGATATGTCCTGAACAATACTGCGTGGCGGCAGGGTAGATTGCAAATCAACAGATTATGCCCATAAGCCAGATAATGTATATACAAATCAAAGTAGAAACTGCAAGCAATAAGGACACACATAGAGAAGGAGCATCTTGAAAAGTCTACATATTCTCCTCCCATACAAAGAGCATCATAAAAGACCACATCCAGAGAACTATTAAAAAAAAAAAATCAGCAAGACAAATAAACCATGAGCACAATGGGGGGGCACACCTAATAACCATCCATCGGGGAGTAACCATTCCCAAAACGAACACGAATAGAGAGGAGATGAGCACCTCAAAATCCATACTGAATATTAAAGACCAAAACATGATAGGGCGTGGCTGTAAAGTGTCAAAGTTATAATAGCAGGACCGAACACTACATGGAGGCATAAAACGCAAACAGGGACTAAAGTGTGGAAATAGGGGGGGCACTACAGAATCCAACAGATATATGGTTAAGCATCTGGGATCTCAGAGTAATACATCCACCCGACCAAATATCATGAAAACAGTCAAGCTGGTTCTTAACAGTATGTACCCAGCATTCCACTCCCATATTATCATCCAATTCTTACTTCCAGTCAGCCAGAGTTGGGCAAATGGCCTGTTTCCAATACCTTGGAATCAAGCACTTAGCAGTATTCAACAATAAAGGACTCACACTCTTCTTGTACCTCTTGACAGAGAACTATACATCACGAAATAGGAACTGGAGTGGGGTGCAATGAACTGGCCTAAGGGTCGTTTTCTAAATCCAGGGTGTAATTGCTTCACAGAACACCCTAATCTTGGGGCAATCCCACCAGAGGTGAAGAAAATTTTGTTGTTGAGAGCAGCCCCGCCAACAGCTAGAATCTGCCCCTGGGAATATCTGAGCAAGGCAAGGTGATGATCTGTACCACCTAGTCAGAAGTTTATTAGCGGATTCCTGAATGCAAGTCCTGATGGAGGAAACATGGGCCAAGTGCATAATTTTCTGAATCTGTGGAGGGAAGAACTCAGTCCCCCAGCTCTTTCTCCCATTCCCTGGGGTGTCTGAGAATAATCTCCAAGCACCAACTTATACATATAAGAGAGCAGGTGTCTAGATTCCAGGGGCTGTACACACAAAGATTCAAAGGAAGATGATGAACCCTGTCGGAGCAGTGGGGGTTGTAATTTAAAGAGGAAATCCAGCAGTGGACTGTACCTCCATAATGTCATTGGGAAGAACCCATACTGGGACAGTAAAATTTCAATAGACAATAGTTTCCCTCCAAACTGCATGCAAATTTAGTGCATGAGGTGTCTCCATCCGTTCCCCAAGAGTGGAAAACATGAACATCCTCCCCAGGAGGAAACCACAGAAAGCCTCCAAGAGGTTGCAAAGGGAAGGTCCAGGCAGCATACGCACATCAAATATTCAGTCTATCCCACACAGTAAGGATTGCTCGAGTCAGTGGGGACGTCCAGTTTGAGAGTCCTCTATCATCTATCAGTAGCCATGTGGCCCCGGCCAAGTTCCTGCCCACCAAAGGTATTCTCTAAAGGGACCCAAATATTATTAGAGGCATCATGCTGCTAATTTAAGATACACATTAGCATCATGGCCTTATGGTACAGGGAGATGTCCGGTAAGCCTATTGCTTTGTCCCGTTTATGTCTGCATAAGATGTGTTGATTGTTTCCCATGCCAAACGAACTTCATAAAAGTTTATTTCAGACTTTTAAAAAAAAAAAAGCTTGCAGCAAAAAAGATCGGTATACTATACAACAAGCATACACAGATATAATTGTCACTTGGTCCGTACTGCAGTCCACCATTCAGTGATGCCTGGTATAGTGCATGGAAGGCTTTAGAGTGTGCACTGGAAGCCAAAACATCCTGATGACATCAGCATCTCTTTTTGACCATAGAGGCTGTCTGGCCTGTGAGGTGCCTATTTAGCAATTTGCAAATTAACCGCCTTCCGTCCGCCATATAAGGTAATGATGGGCGCAAGGCGGTGCTCTCATTCTGGGAGGTCGTCATATGACGTCCTCTCATTCTAACCGCGCATGCGTGGCTCCGGAGGCAAGCAGCATGGTGATCGGTGGTGCACTGTGTCCCTTAGACACAGCGAATCACCGATCAACAGAAAGAGCCGAAGATGTCAGCTCAGTTATGTGATCAGCTGTGTCCAATCACAGCTGACCGCATATAAATAGGGAAATGCCGATTATCGGCATTTCTCTCCTCATAAGCTGTCACGCCGACAGCTCGTGAGGTGTGGAGAGCAGGTATTCAGCATCCCTCAGAGGGAACATGTACACTGATCATCAGGGCACTGATTGTCAGTGTGCCCTGATGATCAGTGTAGCCCCAGCAGTGTCACCTGTCAGTGTCCATCAATGCCAGCTGTCAGTGCCCATCAATGCCACCTGCCAGTGCCCATCAGTGCCACATCAATGCCACATATCAGTGCCCATCTGAGCTGCCTTCCAGTGTCACCTATCAATGCCAGTTAGTGCCACCTATCAGTGCTACCAATCAGTGCCACCTGTCAGTGCGCATCAGTGCCACTCAGTGCCACTATCAGTGCCATTTATGAGTGCTGCCTTTCAGTGCCCATCAGTGATGCCTGTCAATGCCACCTACCAGTGCCTCCTCATCAGTGCCCATCAGTGCCCTCCATCAGTGCAACCTATCAGTGCCCATCACTGCAGCCTCATTAGCGCATATCAGTGAAGGAAAAAAAAATCACTTAACGAAATTTTGTAACAAAAACTAATAAAAAACTTTTTTTTTTCAAAATTTTTAGTTTTTGGTTTATCAAAAAATAAAAAACCAAGAGGTGATTTAATACAACCAAAAGAAAGCTCTAAGTGTCTCAAAAAAATTATCATATGGGTACAGTGTTGCATGACCACGCAATTGTCAAAGTGTGACAGAGCTGAAAGCTGAAAATTGGCCTGGGCAGGAAGGGGGTATAAGTGCCCTGTAGGCTAGTGGTTAAATCTCCTCCTAATGTAATGTGTCCACATCACTTTACCAATTTAAGCCTTTGCAGTGATCCCTTCCATTCTAGGCTGATATGTTTGAAATGTAAACCAGAAGGACACTGAACAGAATTTAAGAGATGATTTTATTGCACTATCCCAACTTAAAAAACCCACACCTAAAAAATGTTGCCTGTTCCCTACCCTGTGTATACTTACGGTTTAAAACTTGAATGACCAAAATAAGTCTTCAAGCAAGATATCTGGTCAGTGTTTGGTTCAGGTAGACATGGATCTGTTTGGAAAAAGATACATGTAAAAGAAAAGAAAATAAGAAATACCATAAAGCAAAATATTTTCATTTGGGCCCGCTCACACCACGTGTTGGGGTTTGCTGGTCTGCCATGCTCAATACAGTCCTAAGACATAGATAAGGTAATTTGCCTGATTTCCTATCAGTGCTGTTCACATTACTGCACTGCACTGAGAAAAAGAAGAACATGCTGTACTTTTTTCAGCAGTGTGCTGTGATGCAGTACACTGCATTGTAACCCGCTGTGGTGCACAAAGATACATACAACACAAACAGATTTGTCATCATGGATATCAGAAATATCTTTGCTTTTGTTAAAGCATTAACACTTTTTTTTATCAAGACACCATAAAATAATTGTATAAATACAGCGAAGACCTAACTATGTGGCAAATAGCTAAAAATGTTGCAAATGATTACTGCTTGAAATAATGGAATTAAGTTTTGGACCATTTTTAAGAAAACCAGGGTTATTAAAATCAAACATTTTTTAAACTGAGTCAGATTAAACAATTAGGCATTACAGAATTGCAAAGCCCTAAAAGGAGAAGTCTGGGTTATAGAAACAAAAAAAAACAAACATGCATACACGCCTACATGCTGCAGCATCTGTCTGATACTGCGGCTGTCCCAAGTCAGCTCTATGCCCAAAACCCAAGTAATCACATGGCTGCTGATTGCTCGGTTCTCGGTCAGCTTGGCTTGGAGCTGAGAGCAAGGACTCTCCGTCACAACTCTCCGCTACAGCTCTCCGCTCTGCCCTTCGGGCACTCACAGGAGTCTACTATTAACGGACTCTGGGTCACAGAGCAAAAGTAAGTACACTTCTGTGAACTTGAAGAGAAGTATTGCAAAACAAGCCTTACTTCTCTTTTAAGCAAACCATATAAATAAAATAAGTTGAAAAGTTTGCATAGTTCGAAATATTATGGGTTGTCCCGATTAGTATCCATAATGGCTTGCTGTCTATTGTAATAGCTGTGAATGAGGCTTTTTTCTTATGTAGAAAAGCTGCCCATTCTTCTTGGCCAAGAGCCTGAAAGTCTTGCAAAAATTTTTTTTTGTCTACCAGGCACTGCATGTTTGAGTTCTCCCCAATAAATCTCAATAATGTTGAGATCAGGAGCGTGCAATGGTCAGTCTAGAACGCGTACTTTTTTCTGCGGCAGCTGCTAAGAGTTGATTTGGCATTAAGTTTCAGATCAGTCATGTGAAAAAGGCCAAGCGCAGTAAGCTTCCAGCATAATGAAAGCCAGTTTTCCCCCAATAAACTGCAAAGAGGATTAAATAGAGAGTACAAAAATTTAATTTTCTCACTTGTCCATTGAGGGACACTGGAAGTCTTAAATTTTCAGAACTTCCACAATCCATTTAACTGAGGATTGGGGTTGGGGGGCACACAGCCAAGAAGACAGAACAAGTCCTCCGCAAAGTTAGCTTCAGAGGCAGAAACGTCCAGCTGATAAAACTTAAAGAGAATATGTAAACAGAAGACCAGGTTTTAGCTTGACAAAACTAAGAAACATACTTGATGCCAAAAATCCAAAGATGCACTCAAAGCTCTAGTGGGGGATCCCCATCTTTAAAACCATAAGCTTGAACAATGGTCTGCCGAAGCCACCAGAAATAGCAGAGCACAAAACCAGTCACCCTTCCTGGGCCAATCTGGGATGACATCATAGGGATAACGCTCCCACAGATGACCCTGTCCCTTAAAACCTGGCTTCAACAGCTATATAGTTAAAGCTAACAGACAAGAAGCAGAGTGGTAAATTGGTCCTTGGGACAGCATGGTTCAGATGGTCTGAAAAAGTCCACGGTGTATCTGGGAGAAGTCTTACAAGGCTGACATACCAAACTCTTCAGGGCACATCTGGGGCAATGACAATCATCAAAATGCCCTCTGTCTTGATCCTGCAAGGCAGGAAAGCAAGAATATTCAGGGGAGAACAGATACAGATCAGATTGTACCTATCCCATAGAACCACTAGTGCAGGGCTCGACAACGCTATGGAGACTAGAAAATACGCCCTGGCACCCAGGCTGTTGTCAGCCCCAGTGGTGTGGCATAGCGGAGCGCAGCCAGGCGCAACATTGCCCGCAGCCTGCAGGTGACACTGGTGTGCGAGGCCGACATGTTGCAGCCGACATGTGACTTACAAATCCTGGACAGGGGGTAGAAGGGAAGGGTTGGATGGTAGGAGGCAGGCATTAGAAACATATGAGAATCAAAGTTCCATGGGGCTGTTTGCAGCAAAGGCAGCAGTAGAAAGATGCTTCTCCAAAGCTGCATGGTAGAAAAAGAGCGCACACAACGCAGGCAAAACTAAAAACTAAAAATAGTTGAGTACAAGGTATATTGGAACCCTGCAATTTATGAAAATTAGGTGGCTCCTGGTACTCGGCTCAACTGCCTTAATTATTTAGCGAGTCCTCAGAGAGAAGGCAATGCCAGTGGCTCTGAACCTGGAACACTCTCTTGAGCCAACAACTTTTCATCAAAATGGAAAGCAACACTTGCATAACTCGATTCCTGAAAGTCGCCTCAGGGTGCTTTCCTCCAAAACGATACCCTTTTTAGATCGTTGAGTACGAGTACTGATACTTTCGGTCAAGTACTCGCCGATACCAAGTACCAATACTTTGTGGTGTGATTTGTGCCCCTACAAAATGTACGGACACAAATAGCACCGCAAAGAATAGTATGCGATTTGAACAGGAATGCGATTCCTGTCCATAACACATGCCATTTCCCCACTGCTCCTGTGTGAACCCACAGGAAATCCCCATCGCTTTCTCTCCTCTCCTTGCAGGGATAACAGTTCAGGTTTGAGGGCTTTTGATTTGTCAACAACGTCACATGGACAGTGCTGACCAATCAGAAGCCGTCTATACCGTACTGTCATCCCTGCAAGGAGAGGAGAGAAAGCTGCTTAACAGGTCAAGGGATTTGATATCTCCACCGCTTTCTCTCCTCTCCTTACAGATGATAGTACAGGCTAGATGGCTTCTGATTGGTCAGCACCGACCATGTGATGGTGCTGACCAATCAAAAGTTCTCTAGCGCAAACTACCATAAGACTGTATAAGACTGCTTTGCTGCTGTTAAGATGTAAATATGAACCAGAGGGACTACCACTCTATTTTACATTTCATGGGGTCAGCACCGGAATGGGGCAAATTTCAACTGCAGCTGGACAGTGATACAAAGCATAATTCTAAACAATGCAAAACCTGGTGAAGACAAAAGAAGATAGAGTACTGACAGGCTACCACATTTGTCAGACCTCAAACTTATCACACTTTTGTGGAAAAAGCTAAATTGTTACTAAACCCAGGACCCGGCATTCACTATATCTGGTCTCCCACAGTACACAGAACATGGAAGTGCAATTATTTCAGTAAATATGAACTGCTAAATACCTTTTCTCATCAGCAGTTAGAGCAGTCTTGTGACTTCTATCAGTGTCCAACAAACCACTGGTTAAAGCTTGTAGGAGAAGTTTTCATTCTGCTCTAGGAGGATGCAGAACCCCTGACCTCCGTCTGGACAGTGCCGATTGGCCCTATGCTGATTACATGCACTCTCCCAAGAAAAAAAAAACCTCTCTAGCAATACACACCAAACTGAGCATGTGCAGAATGAATCCACACGATATGTCTTATCAGGAGATAAGAGGGGGACACTGGAAGGGGAGGATCAGAGAAGCCAGGATCAAGCAGCCTTTTTTACCCAATGCAGAGGATTAACCCATTAGGTTCCACAGCGAGTATAAAAAGCATGCTTTACGGCATATAGAGACTGATTTTACTGTTGTGGGTTTAGTAACACTGTAATTGCAAAGCCTAGCACATGCAATTAGAAATTTCTATGAAAAATACTGCTTTAGAAGAGAGTGTACGATAATCTGATTGTAGTACACAACTATCATCCGAAAATATTTGAAGGGACAAGCACAAAAATGTTTCTCATATGATACAGATCATACCATTTTTTTTTTAAATCAGTACAGTGCTCATTCAAAAATACAATACAAATACAATACATTACGTCACTTTCAAATTTTTATTCTGTTATACAAGAATTTTAGTAACTTTAGTAAACCTCTTCACTTTTGATATGAGACCAGCACTCAAAGAAAAAAATTGACAATCATCCATCTGATATTCTCATCGTGTGTACGGTCTCTATGATAGAAAGAAACATGGCCTAAAAGCCAACTGCACCTTTGGGAATAGTAACAAAAGGCATGGGTTGAATTTTTCTAATTATCCTCAAAATCTAACAGCTAGAAGGTCCGAAATTGTTGAAAACCGAAGAATAGTGCAATGATATGCTGTAAAAAGAATACTGACAACATTATCAATTTTTTTAAACTATAATTTTTGGGCCTTGTTGATTTATTGAATAAAAAGTATCAACTGCGAAAAATATTTCAGGGTGGTTTTAAACTTTTAAATGTATACATGCATACACACAATCAGTATACACATGTAATAAATACACACGGATACAATTTTTTTAATTTTATATTCACATGTACATAAAATGTTAGGATATGTCAATTCCCAAAAAGCTATTGATAGAAAAAAAAGCCCACAGCATAATATAAGATCTATACCTGCTCGACACAGAAACACAGAGCAGAACAAGCCATTGTAAGTAAGCAATGGGCAGAGCTCAATTGCTCTTTAATTGCAGCACATACTATCATGCATAAATCTGTTTTCTGCAATAAATATCAACTAACATTTGGAAAAGCTTACCCCAGTCTTCTTCAATCTCTTCTTCAATGCCTTCATCTTCTTCATCATCCACAACATTATTTAAAGATTTACTATTCGTTAATGATTTTGCTCCAGTGTCATACTCTGGGCTGTTTTCCAGATCTTCTATAGACTGAAAAATTTAATAACCAAGAGGATTATAACTAAACTAGACAAGAAAAACTGCTACAGTACATGTATCTCTAAAAATGGAATGCAAGCTTACGGTTTCAAAAATTATTGATATAGATTTTATCCTTATTATGGCTCACATTACACTTTCTTCTTATTTTACCCTGTATAAAATAATAGTACAGGTGAAATTCGAAAAATTAGAAGATCGTGTAAAAGTTCATTTATTTCAGTAATGCAACTTAAAGGTGAAACTAATATATGAGATAGACTCATTACATGCAAAGCAAGATAGTTCAAGCCGTGATTTGTCATAATTGTGATGAATATGGCTTACAGCTCATGAAAACCCCAAATCCACAATCTCAGAAAATTAGAATACTGTGAAAAGGTGCAATATTCTAGGTTCAAAGTGTTCCACTCTAATCAGCTAATTAAGCCATAACACCTGCAAAAGGGTTCCTGAGCCTTTATATGGTCTCTCAGTCTGGTTCAGGAGGAATCACAATCATGGGAAAGACTGCTGACCTGACAGTTGTGCAGAAAACCATCATTGACACCCTCCATAAGGAGGGAAAGCCTCAAAAAGGTAATTGCAAAAGAAGTTGGATGTTCCCAAAGTGCTGTATAAAAGCACATTAATAGAAAAGTTATGTGGAAGGGAAAAGTGTGGAAGAAAAAGGTGCACAAGCAGCAGGGATGACCGCAGCCTGGAGAGGATTGTCAGGAAAAGGCCATTCAAAAGTGTTGGGGACTTTCACAAGGAGTGGACTGAGGCTGGAGTCAGTGCATCAAGAGCCACCACACACAGACGTATCCTGGACATGGGCTTCAAATGTCGTATTCCTCTTCTCAAGCCGCTCCTGAACAACAAACAACATCAGAAGCGTCTTACCTGGGCTAAACAAAAACAGACCTGGTCTGTTGCTCAGTGGTCCAAAGTCCTCTTTTCTGATGAGAGCAACTTTTGCATCTCATTTGAAAACCAAGGACCCAGAATATGGAGGAAGAATGGAAAGGCACACACTGCAAGATGCTTGAAGTCCAGTGTGAAGTTTCCACAGTCTGTGTTGATTTGGGGAGCCATGTCATCTGCTGGTGTTGGTCCACTGTGCTTCATTAAGTCCAAGGTCAACGCAGCCATCTACCAGGAGATTTTGGAGCACTTCATGCTTCCTTCCGCAGATGAGCTTTATGGGGATGCTGACTTCATTTTCCAGCAGGACGTGGCACCTGCCCACACTGCCAAAAGCACCAAAACCTGGTTCAATGACCGTGGGATTACTGTGCTTGATTGGCCAGCAAACTCGCCTGACCTGAACCCCATAGAGAATCTATGGGGCATTGCCAAGAGAAAGATGAGAGACATGAGACCGAACAATGCAAAGAGCTGAAGGCTGCTATTGAAGCATCCTGGTCTTCCATAACACCTCAGCAGTGCCACAGGCTGATAGCTTCCATGCCACGCCGCATTGAGGCAGTAATTGCTGCAAAAGGGGCCCAAACCAAGTACTGAGTACATATGCATGCTTATACTTTTCAGAGGTCCGATATTGTTCTATGTACAATCCTTTTTTTATTGATTGCATGTAATATTCTAATTTTCTGAGATTGTGGATTTGGGGTTTTCATGAGCTGTAAGCCATAATCATCACAATTATGACAAATCACGGCTTGAACTATCTTGCTTTGTATGTAAGGAGTCTCTCTCATATATTAGTTTCACCTTTTAAGTTGCATTACTGAAATAAATGAACTTTTGCACAATATTCTAATTTTTCGAGTTTCACCTGTATATAATAAGAAATGTGAGCTATTATTCACACGTGCTACTTAAAAGTGACCCTGTCACCACAAGGTCATTTTTTTTTAAAAAAAAACCCCAGCATTTTATTTATTTACCTTTCCGGACTCGCTGCTTCTCTGATCATCACCCACTGCAAGCATTTGATAAATTGAATACTTGCTCCCTGTACTATAGTGAAGTACGAGTCAGTGAGCGTAACCACAGCAGCCGGCAAGGAAACAAGTATTTGACACATCCAAAGGTCGAATGCTTGAAAAAGCTGGGGAGTAGAGAAGAGGTGGCTTTTCCTTTCCTTACTGCTGGATCAGGAAGTAAATAAACATTTATTTTACAAGTGGGCTTTTTTTTTTTTTTAAGTGACTCTGCAGTGACTATCTCACTTTAATGAAAAACATTATTAGAGAACATAAGATACAAAACTGGCCTGGTTATAAAGAAATTTAGCAAAAATATCAATGAACAAAGACCTGTCAAGGAATTCTAATCGCCTAGAACAAACACTAGCATTTTTGTCTAGGTAAAATAGCAGTGAATAAATTGTCCCTTTTGCCAAAAATATTTATTTACGGTTGTTTTTTTTACTAGTTAAGGTTCTCTTTCATTCCTTTTATATATTATACAGCAGATTATACTACAATTTACCTTTTAGTCTAACAGTGGTCTCCAAACTGTGGCCTGTGGGGTGGATGCGGCCCTTTGCTTGCCCTTATCCAGTCCCTGGGACACTATACTTTTCTATTATAATTGAGGCTCTATTCCCCCCCTCTGATACCAATAATGGGGCATAATTTCTTCCTCTGACACCAACAGTGGGGAACTATTCCTCTCACTGACTCCAATAATGGGGCACTTTTCTGGCCCTTAGTTTAGAAAGTTTGGAGATGCCTGGTCTAAAAAGACCCAGACTCTCTAAAACAACTTTTGTACCAACACACGCTGCTTGGGGTTTGGGCCTTCCCAATTTTACAAAATATTACCAAGGTGCTCATGCAATATGGCAAATACCAGCAGGCTGAGAGACATACTGTAGATTGTTACCCACTATCCATTACAGACGTCTTCTATATGCACTTGAAAGCCAGGTCATAATTCTATAATCGTACCGAAGCACATTCCCTCAGCATCTGGGGTGACATAAAATACACTAGATTGATTTCCACGCATCTTATGCTACTGTCTTTTCTATACTTCCACTTTTCTCCTCAGATTATCTGAACTTCTTTGGAAAAGGGAAGAGATACAGCAGTACTATAATTTATAAAACCGTAATGGTAAGAGAATATCTTTATACAGTATATCTACAGATTAAACATTGAGTAAGCAGTACAGTTAACTAGACTTTTAGTTTTTATGAACTTTAATGTCCACAAGAACCTAATGCTCAGAGACTGATTTCTTTGCTTTACGCCTCTTTAACCTATAAATCGACCCCTGGCATATCCAGATTGAAGCCAGAAAATACAAAAATGAAACACGCCAAATGTCAAAAATGTACAATTCTAACTGCTCTCACATGTCTTTACAGTGTCAAAAACATGATTTATCCTGGTCATGATACACAAAAAGATCGAAAGCATACTAACTGATAGAATACTAAAATATGTCAAAATAAGGACACCTTAGGTAGGCAAGTTCCTACCTCCTGATTTTGACAAAAGTTGTTTGGAGCTTCAAAAATTTACTGCAGTTGAAGTATGATGGTGCCTCAACTAGCCATGCCCCTCCACTGCTTTCTCTTTTATCACACTATTCTTTCTTCCTTGTTCAGCCCCCAGCCCTCCTATATTACCCCACCACTGCTTTTCACCCCCTTCTCTAATAGTTACTAGTTTTTCACTGAACAACAGAGAAAAATAGTAACTCGTTTGCAAAAGAGATCTAGTAAAGCCTTTACTTTTTTGCATTCTGGGCAACATATTGTTTACTACTGTGGAAAAGTCTAATGTATTTGCATGGTTTTAAAATTTAATAAGAATGAAGAAAAACAATTTTGCCTATTTATTTTTAAAATAAACATTTTAGAGAAAAAAAAAAAGTTTGGATTTTTTTCCTGTACAGTCTATTTCTTGGAGTACATGACAGAACATACGGCACTCCACATTTATAACTACTTGGGTTATACTGCCACTTTTAGGTCAACAGTCACTGACTTGAAAAAGGCAAGAGTTTACCTCCCAGGGATAACCCCTCCCAGCGCAGCTATGCATCAGTTTTCTGGCAAGCAATGAGAGGCAAAGGGGGAAGAAATCCTTGTGTACTGTAATACATTCCAAAAAAATTATTTTACAGGTAAACCAAAAAATCCTAATTTCTTAATCGTACATCACAGGACACTGGGTACTTCATATTCATTTCTACTTGGTATGATCCAAAGCTCTAAACACAAGGGGTGGGCAACAAAACAAAAAGGCCATTGTGCCCAAAACCCAAACCAGAAGAGAGGTAAACCCCACTACAAAGCGGTTTGCAAGACCTTTCACCCAAAACTGGTGTCCACAGAGCAGTGAACAGCCACCTAGAACTCAGTAAATGTGTGGAGAAGATCAGGTAATAACCTTAAAAACTTGAACAACAGAAGCTTGATGCTGAATCGCCGAGGAAGCAATGGCACGCTTGGTGGAATAGGCCTTAACATGGAAAGGAGGAACCTTTCCCATAATGCCACAGCCCTGAGAAGTACGCAGACAAATCCAACTAGAAATAGTGGATTGAGTGGCAGCCTGATCCTTGAAAGGTCTCCTAGATAAAACAAACAGGGACTCAAGACTGTTGAAACAAAGCTGTAGAATTCAGATAAATTAAAAACACCTAGGGCAAATAAAAAAAAAAAAAAATAAAAAAAAAAAAGAAGGACTAAGGCCTCAAATCCACCTTATCCAGGTGAAGAACAAGAAAAGGCTTCTTGTAGGAAAGTGCAGCCAAATCCAATACCCTGCAACCCAAAGTAATGGCACCCAAAATGATAACCTTGCGCATAAACAGCAATAAGGTAATTTCTTGGAGAGGCTCAAAAAGAGAGTCTGCAAAACAGAAGAGACCAAATGAAGGTCCACTGGAGACAAAGGGAACTGCACAGACAGAACAATCTGTATGACATTTTATACAAAGATTTTTTTTTTATTTACCAAGGAATGAGACATAATACGTCTTTGAAAAAGAATGGCCAAGACCAGGATCTTCCCCTTTATGGTACTTAAAGCTAGAGACATCTCTACACCAGACCCCGAAAAATCCAAAAACTAAACAAAAAAAAAAAAAAAAAAAGAGAGATCACATGGCTCATCTTCTAAACAATTTACAGTGTTTGCATACAACATTCTTCTTGGCCAAGCAGGTGCACGCAGAATAACCTGGATACCCTCTAACTTTATCCTGCACAACAGGGGAGGAAGAAGCTGTAGCAGAGAGATGGCATAGATCAGAGAAAAGTAATCATAAGGAATCACCAGGGCATCCACTACAAACGCCTGAGGATCCCTTGTCCAGGACACAAACTCATCCAGTTAGTTGTTAAATCTGAATGTCAAGTGAACCGCATGCAGCGTCCCTCATCACAGAAAAATCTCTGAACACCACAAGGTGAAGGGCCATTCTCTCAGATTCAGCATCCGATGGCTGAGAAAGTCCACCTTTCAATTTTCAACACTGGTATGAGACTGGACGAGAGGGCTGGAATCTGAAGTTCTGCCAGAGACAGGATTAAGTCTGCTTCTTCCTAAAAAGTGTGACTTGATGATAAATATATGCCACCGCACAAATGCACTCTGATGGGGAAACCATGAAGGTAGACAGGCCACTGTAGGGGAGTCAGCTCCAAGATGTCAATGGACAACTTCTGCTCCTCTGAAGACCACATTCTCTGAACCAAGAGTTTCTCCAGAACACCTCCTCAACCCAACATCCATCGACAAGACTTTCCAAGTTATCAGAAGGAAGGATCTCCTGAGATCCAGCATCTACTGCTGAGTGAATCAATTCAATGGTGAAGATAACTTCTCCGGGTGAGCCTAATCGTCACAAATCACATTCTACAAGTGAGGGTGCCTCAGAAAAGATTTAGATGCTTTGGCAGCCATCAGGATCTAAATTCACTGACTTTAGGAGAAGAAAACAACAGAACTGGTAGCTTCAAGTTAGTTTGCACCCTGCCCATCAGGAATCTCATTGTGATCTTCTGTGCGTGAGGCAGCCCTGGCCCCCGAGATTCCTCCTGAGAGGATTCGTCTACAGAAAATTCCCAATTCTCGATAGCTGTCCTCTTTCACATTCTGAAGATGTTCTGCCTATGCATCACCCCCCTGCAAAAGGGGGGATGAAGAGGACTGATGTTTATGTCCAAAACCATTAAGCTGGTTCTGCAGACTAGAAATGACCAGAAAATTCTTGCCTTGACCAAAAAGACCTGGAGGATTTCTGAGACAGTGGAAGTACCAAAAATGTGGAGGGGTTAAGAGCTAATCTGACCCTTAGGGAAGCCATTAGAGGGAGAGGGTCCCCCCTACCTGATAGAGGGATTTTTGAGTCCACCCCATCGCCCCCCAACACCAACATGCCTGAGCAATGCCATGGGTTATTGAAGGTTCTCGGTAAGGGCTTCCCAGCTGAAAGTGGTGGTCCAAAACAAATACCAAAGTGGCAAGTCACTCCCAACACAAATGTCCCAATAATTGCTGTGCCTTGACACTGATGCACTGAAGGCATACTGCAGCTGTGCAGGGGCTGTGTCACAGTATGACAGGAGCACTGGAGCTGTATTTGCGCTGTAAAACAACCTGGTAGCCTCCAATGTGTTAACATGCCCGGGGAAATACAAAATGGCAGCTGCACAGACATGCAATGACATCAAGGACTTGCAACATTACAGGCAGTCCCAGCTCTTGTGTGCAAGGTTTGGGTACAGTTGTCCTTGGCTGTTTGGCTACCGGAAAAGGATCCAGATAAAGCCCTTCCCTACCCCAGCAGTGGTATTCAGAACAAGCCATAAACATGGGATCAAGGACCACAAAAAGAAAATTTTGACATCTGTAGGCAAATCCATCACCTAAGGTTGCTAGCTAAAAACTAAGGCCTAGCTAAGCTGGGAGGGGTTATGCCTCGGTGTGAAATGTCAGCTATTTTTTGCCAGTATCCATTTACATAAATGTAGAAGCATAGCCCAAGTTCCCATGAATATGAACTGATCCTGTGTCCTATGATACATGATTAAGAAAAAACAAATTACACTGATTTAAAGCTAGGCAACATCTACACTTAATTTCATAAGTTATGTCTGTTTCACAATTGTTGTGGTGTTCCATATAACTGAATATAGTGTGATATGCAAGCATCACATACAAAGAAAAGATTTATTTTTTACCATAATTACAGATAACATATGAAAATATATACCTTGATCAATTCACTGTCAAACTCTTCATCACTCTCAATGACAGGTTTGTGCTGAATTTCATCATCAAAGTCTGTATATTCCTGTTGTGCAGTATACAGATTAACTTTACAGTTCACACGAAACAGTTCCAACAGAATATGTATGTGATTATTTAAGGTCATCAAAAGTAGAAGTACTGAATGATTTGTAAAGTAAAATAGACAAACAAGGGTTCAGTACTTTAAAGTGACCCTGTCATAATTGAGACAAAACTAAAAGTAGAATTATCTTTAAAAGAAGAGGCTCCTTACCTTTCCATCATGTGTGTTAAAATACCAACACCATGCTGCTGCTCAGCCATGGTAAGTATTCGACACTATGGGTGGACTGAATACCTGTTCTCAAAGATATTTTATTTGCACACCAAACTGGCTGTTGCAATCAACAGTGGGTGACATTATGCAACATTTGTCCTCTTAATGAAAAACCACTGTGGGGGGGTTCCTTCGTGAGGCAGAGTGACATCATGTTTGCGTGCAGCAGAGAACTATCTTACACAGACAGCAGTGTGGAATACATGTAGCAGCCAGGGGGCAGCATCTCTAAGGCATTTCAACACATGGGTCACTGGAAAGTTAAGTGTTGAGCCTCTTCAAGAAATCATTCTTTTTGTTTTGACCCTGTAGCAACAAGATCACTTTATGCAAAATCAGTGTGTCCATAAAGAACAAAGCAACAGGTCTGCTTAAAGCAGAACTTCAGTCTGTCACCCCTCAGATACCACCATTATTTTGCATGTGCAGTTGCATCCATGGTCTCTGCCTGGCCTTCAGATCCTAACGGAGCCGGCTGGCACATCTGTGCATGTGCAGGAAATTTTCTGTGCATGTGCAAATACATGGATGGTTTTGAACTCCCCTGGTAGCAGTCTTTGAGCATGCATAGGACACTTTGCATGTGTGTAGATGGCTGGGACCCGAGCCCTACAGCAAATCTGCACACGCGCCAGACCAGGGAGAAAGTTTCACCTAGGCAAGAAATGCAAAAGTGCTGATTTGCAGCACAAATAAAAGTACTTTAAAAAAATGAATAAATAATGTACAGTTGTAAGAAAGGGAGGGGGGAGGAGGAAGGGCAGAGCAACATTTAGGGTGGAGGTCCACTTTAAATACACAGCCCACCATCAGTAGATATCTTTTCTTCACTCTCTCATTACTCTATTCAGCCACTGGGAGCAAGGAAAGAAATGTAAACCGAGATAAGCACTAACTTGCATCCTGTGACAACACTAAGACAATCACCAAGCACCAATGCGGTCACAAAAGAAGAGCAGAAGAAGAGTGATTCAACTACTTCTCCATATCAGAAAGTAATGAGTATTTTCTTCATTTTCAGTGGGTGAGTAAAGTGGTGGGAGAGAAAAAAGGAAAACTGAGTAAATAGTGCTGAGTCATCAGGCAGCACACCAGCTGCTTTGCCACACAAGGGCAAACTACACATTTGCTTCAATGCACTATTAAGTTTAATCTTTGAAATTTATACAAATTCATACTTCTTCCTGATGAACAGCACACCCAGACCAGAAGGGGTTTCTCTGCAAAAGTCTGACAGGCTACAGTCAGAGCTAGAGCTGATTGCAGAGTTATAGGTCGGACTCAACAATTGGTGTGTCAATTCTCTGCTGAGACCACTGCTCGAGGTTCCTATGTATCCCAGTCCGGTGGCTTACACTCTGGATGCAGGCTGGGAAGAGCCCTTTCTGGCTCAATGCATGCATTATAAGCCTAAATAAAATTTCAGTTTATGCTGACTAAATACATTTCAGGTAAATCAAAACAACGGGTGTGCAAAGTCTTTCAGCTCGTGTTCTTTAGAATGCATGCAGTATAAAGGAAGGAAACAACCCAAAGGGCCGCACACAATCACTATAGTAGAAGCAGTCTCAGCCCGGCTATGTCCAGTCCAGGAGATGCCCTGATGCGTTTCTCCATGCCCATGGTGCTTCGTCGCAGAGGTCCATGACTAAGCCTCGTAAGGTGAAATGTGTCGGGGGTGTGGCCTGCAGAGATTTGGGCTGATGCATCTTCTACTACAGTGACTGTCAAATCCTGATGGTGTGCAGCACTCTGAGCTGTTCCTTACTTTATACTGCATGCATGCTAAAGAACACAGGCTGAAAGACTTTGCATACTTTGTTTTGATGTACCTGGAATATATTTAGTCAACATAAACTGAAAGTTTATTTTGGCTTAAAAGGTATCTTGTTTAAGCAGCCTGGTTCAGAAAATGCCATTCCATCAAACTTTGAGCAGGTCATCATTCAAAATAAAGAACTTCACACCTGGGAAGCCTTGCTGCACAGGCCAATACCAGATATGACCAAGTGTGAAAAGAAACTATGCTAAAGATAATTATTGAGAGGTTATAAAATAAATAAAATTATCGTATCACCCAATATTTGGTCTCCATTCAGTAGCCAAAAAGGCATGCAAAAAGGAGGATTTGTGAAAAGAAATTCACAGAAAAGCGGCTACATTATGAACAGAATGTGACACTCAGAAAAATTTCCAAAAATTATGCTTTATTACACTTATAAATATGACATATGGGCAGTCGCCCTGGTTTACCATCACCTCAGTATGAGACAATACACACAGACCTAAAACCATTAAAATAACACCAAGACCGGTCTAAATGCATGTGCAACAGAGAAAATGACTACAAGAGTCTAATGTCCCTGAGACACAGACACATAGGTGAACACTTCCCAAAGGAGGTGTATCCAAAAATTATACCATAGGTATACCATAATACATGTTATAATATTAGAATTCGGCTATAGCCATAATGGTTATATCCCAAATAGGGAATCCAAAAATTATGCTATGGATATGGATATCACATGTATGCAATTCAGCAAGCACAATATGCGTCAAGAGGAGAACAATATGCCACAGGCCTGTATGAAAAAAGACAAAAATGTCATATGTATAATGCAATACATTCCTCTTGACGCATATTGTGCTTGCTGAATTGCATACATGTGATATCCATATCCATAGCATAATTTTTGGATTCCCTATTTGGGATATAACCATTATGGCTATAGCCGAATTCTAATATTATAACACGTGTTATGGTATACCTATGGTATAATTTTTGGATACACCTCCTTTGGGAAGTGTTCACCTATGTGTCTGTGTCTCAGGGACATTAGACTCTTGTAGTCATTTTCTCTGTTGCACATGCATTTAGACCGGTCTTGGTGTTATTTTAATGGTTTTAGGTCTGTGTGTATTGTCTCATACTGAGGTGATGGTAAACCAGGGCGACTGCCCATATGTCATATTTATAAGTGTAATAAAGCATAATTTTTGGAAATTTTTCTGAGTGTCACATTCTGTTCATAATGTAGCCGCTTTTCTGTGAATTTCTTTTCACAAATCCTCCTTTTTGCGTGAAAAGAAACTATGCCTGCAAGAGAAACAAATGAGAAAAAAAAAATCACAGCTATAATAAATGATACTCATACTGAGCATCTCAAAATCTGGACCCCTAGTTTGGACTATAACAGTCAACTGAACTTGGATCACTATAAAACGTGTGTGTGTGTGTGTGTGTGTGTGTAAGAAAAAGTATGTGAACCCCTTGGGATTACGTGGAGTTTTGCATGAATTGGGCATAAAATGTGCTCTGAACGTCATCTAAGTCACAACAATAGAAGAACACAGTCTGCTGAACATAATACTACACAAACATTAGATGTTGCCATGGTTTAATTGCACATAACATGCAAACATTCACAGTGCAGGGAGGAAAAAGTATGTGAGGCCCTAGCTTAATGACAGCTCCCAGAGCTAATTGGAGCCAGGAGTGAGCCAACCTTGACTCCACTCAGTGTGATATTGGACGTGTTGCTGACAGCTGCCCTGCCCTTAAAAAACACACACCTGTTTTGGGTTACTGGTTTCAAGAAACATGTCTGATGTGAACCATGCCTCGCAGAAAAGAGCTCTCAGAAGACCTACGATCAAGAATTGTTGACTTGCATGAAGCTGGAAAGGGTTACAAAAGTATCTCCAAAAGCCTTGATGTTCATGTGTCCATGGTAAGACAGACTGTCTACAAATGGAGAAAGTTTAGCACTGTTGCTACTCTCCATAGGCGTGGTCGTCCTGTAAAAATGACTGCAAGAGCACAGCGCAGAATGCTGCATGAGGAAAAGAAGAATCCCAGAGTGTCAGCTAAAGATCTACAGAAATCTCTGGCACATGCTAACATTTTTGTTGACACATCTACAATAAGGAAAACATTAAACAAAGAATGGAGTACATGGGAGGACACCACGGAGGAAGCCATTGCTGTCCAAAAAGAATATTGCAGCACGTTTGAAGTTTGCAAAAGAGCACCTGGATGTTCCACAGCACTACTGGCAAAATATACTGTGGACAGACGAAACCAAGATTGAGTTGTTTGGGAAGAACACACAACACTATGTGTGGAGAAAAAAAGGCACAGCACACCAACATCAAAACCTCATCCCCACTGTAAAACATGGCGGAGGGAGCATCATGGTTTGGGGCTGCTTTGCTGCCTCAGGGCAGGGACGGATTGTTGTCATTGATGGGAAAATGAATTCCAGAGTTTATCAAGACATTTTGCAGGAAAACGTACGACCATCTGTCCGCCAACTGAAGCTCCGCAGAGGATGCGTGATGCAACAGGACAATGAACCAAAGCATACAAGTAATTCAACAAAACAATGGCAACAGCACAGAATACGCCTTCTGGAGTGGCCCAGTCAGAGTCCTGACCTCAACCCGATTGAAATGCTGTGGCATGACCTTAAGAGAGCGATTCACACCAGACATCCCAAGAATATTGCTACACTGAAACAGTTTTGTGAAGAGGAGTGGTCCAAAATTACTCCAGGTCATTGTGCAGGTCTGATCTGCAACTACATAAAACGTTTCGTTGAGGTTATTGTTGCCAAAGGAGGGTCAACCAGTTATTAAGTCCAAAGATTCACATACTTTTTCCTCCCTGCACTGTAAATGTTTACATGTTATGTGCAATGAAACCATGGCAACATCTAATGTTTGTGTAGTATTATGTTCAGCAGACTGTGTTCTTCTATTGTTGTGACTTAGATGACGTTCAGAGCACATTTTATGCCCAATTCATGCAAAACTCCACGTAATCCCAAGGGGTTCCCATACTTTTTTCTTGCAAAACTGTATCTCTCTCTCTCTATATATCTATTTATCTATCTATATATCTCTTTACTCAGGCCCTGAAATTTGTCCAGGACTCATAGAACCCCTTCCCTCTGCCTTCCTTACCTCAGTATCCCTGTTCCTTCCTCTCTTACCCCTCCTTCGCTTCCTGTCTTGGTTGGCACAGTTTTTCCTCGTACCACTCATTCTCCTTTCCTGTCTCCTAATCTTCTTGCTTTCTTTTTAACACCTTCTCTGGACATAGCATAGCATTCTGATGGACTATTTCTCTCTCCGCACTTAACAAGCTATTAGATCTCTTCAAGAAAGGCATACACTGTATGTGTGCCCGTTATAAGCGTATTCAGTTTTCTAACAGCTCATGGTTTCTGCACACTGTTTGTTTTGAGCTGGACCGGATATCCAGCACCTTACTTGTACTGTAACAATCCTGTATTTTGTGCTCTTTTTGAGACTGTACCCTTTGATTTTTTTACATTTTGTATTGTACAGCATTGCTTTTTAGAAAATCCAATAAACACTTTATGAAAAAGTATTTATTCTATTTAGGCAATTTGTCAATTTAGTGCCAATGTCTGGATCTGTCATGTTCTGTGATACAAATACAGATCTTAACTGTAATGAGGGGTATCCTTTAAATATATTTAATGTTTAAAGCTCACCTCCATAGATTCATCGTCTTTCTTGCTTTGGATTTCCCCCATGGCTTCCATCAGTTGAAGTTCCTCTTCAGTTATTCCTAAAGTCATCCCAAAATCTTGATCCAAGTTCTGCTTAAAATGGGCATCATTTTCTTCAATAGATCTATTGTTTGTTTCTTCTGTGCAGTCATCATCTTTACTAATTGAGTGGATTTCACTTTTAGACACACAGGTTCCACCTTTGTTACTACCCTCTGGTGAGCCTTTACAAACGAATTCTTCAGAGTCCTCCTGCGCCTTCGAAGCTTCAAAAAGTATACTTCTGACATCTTTCAGACCCTCAGAAAGCTTTGCAAGAATATCTGCAGCTCTGTGAAATTATTTTTTTATGGGTTTAGAGAAGTGGCATTTCTGTTGCTCATACTGTATCTTGCTACAAGTAGTGATCAGAAAAGAAAAGTGGTAAACAGTCCCACCAGTAAATTTCATTGCATTAAGGCTCCTTTCGCAGAGGCAACCAAGGTGCACTAAAAACAGTTATGCCAAACCTTAATTCTACCCACTGCACTCAGATGCATGTGCCGTAACCCCCCCCCCCCTTCCAGGTGAAGCCTTGCAGCACCAGCATTTTTAACTTTGCAGAGTGGCTAAATAAATTTCACGGCATGGTAACAACAGGTGGCTGAACCATGGCTTCACCACCCCCCAACCTCCCATCTAAACTCTACCTTTGCAACCACATGGGGCTGTACACATGCTGCGGCTGCAATGCCTTGCAGCAATTTTAACTGAGCTTGCAGAGAATGATAGGTAGCACCACTTGTCAAACACACCCTTTAAAGGTCAATAGAAGCACAACTGAACCGCCCTGCCGAATTAAAAAAAATAAATAAAAAGCCCGATGAAAATCTACAGCAGATTGTTTTTTTAGAGAATGGTAAACATTGCTGCCTGTGCAGAAGAGCTCTTTGTTTAACAGACAGCATCACCTGTTAAAACTTGCCCATTGCGATTAATGAAAGCTCACGGTATTGCAATACAATATTCCCATTCCCTGAAAAGTGTGATCCACCGCAGATTTCTTTTCAGTGGGCGGTAGACACTTCCACCCAAGTGAAAGGGCCCTAACACTTTAAATAAAACCTACACTGTTAAGCTGGGTACACACTGTTCGACAATTGGCCGGTTCAGCAGGAGTCCCCCTGCCAGAATACAATAGCACAGGGGGAGATTGCCGTACCAACATAATTTATGTTGGTACTGTGATCTGTCAGGTTTTTTTGTTCAACCCACTGGGTTGAACAAAAAAAAAAAAATCTTGCAGTGTGTATGGGGCTTTACTTTTAACACATTTAAATATAAACAATACAACTTTAAAATAAATGACACAAGCAATAGTGTAAATGAACACATAATGGCTTGGGTACTATGGTCCCTTTGTAATCAAAAATTATTATAGATATCCCTGTGGCATGCAATTTTACAATGAAACCCACAGGTTACAAGTTTGCTATGACGGCTGAAATGCAGGCAAGTTGCGATATCAAAGTCCGAAATTACTAGACAGTAAATAGTCTGCAAACAAGCTGCAGTCAGGGAAAGCAGTGTTCAAGCAAAGTCGCAAACAATACAGTCTAATCTGAAAGGCAAGCTGTACACAGAATGGCAGCAGAATGTCAACACTCCTGTCAAAGAATCAGGTGAGCATTTTTTGCTCAAGCATTTCTCTAGTGCACCAAGTAAAATTTAGGTTTTGATGCCTGCCTACGCTGTTGCTTACAGTGACACAAGACATGGACTATGTGCAAATCAGTGTGCAATCATTTAGTAATCACAAAGTCCTCAACAAATGTGACGTGCTAGAATATAAATGGCTACCAACACTAGTGGTCACATATACTGTATTATCATGAGCCTACATAAAGATTTAAACTGTACTTCCTTTCTAATAACAAACTAGCATAGGACCTGTTCCATCACCTCATATTTGCATTACAATAGATCAGGATTTACAGTAAGGTAATGTTACACAAATAATTACCTTGATGCCTTTCCACACATTTCAAGATCATATGGCACTTGATCCACTAAATCAAGGCACTCCTGTGACAGAGCTTTGAGCTCATCCTTCATCTCAAGTGAAGCTGCACTATATTCTGCAATACACATAGTAGTCATAAGAGTGCATATAAAATTTATGCGAAATCATATTTTTAATGAATGCCTAAAGAAAGTTACCTGCACTGACATGGAACAGATCCCTCTCTCTCTCGTCCATGGTATCTAATTTTTGGTAAATTAGAAGACTAGCCTGAAAAGTAAACAAGCATCTCAAACTTCATGTAAGACTTCAAGTTTTACTTGAACAGCTGTCATTTTAGGCCTGAGGATTAGTTTGAAAACCCCCAAACATTATTTGATGAAAGCAAAGGCCCTGGAGAATAAAAAAGGTAGTTCCAATCTTTTTTCATACAATATTAATGCAGTGGTTTATCAAGTGCAAATATTCAGTAAAAAATATTGAGAGCATAAAAATGCAATATATGTATTACCCAATTTTACACAATGAGGTTTTGTTGAGTAAATACCCAACATGTTAAGTTTTAAAAATTACACAAGCCCGTGAAACATGATGCACTTCAGAACTCAATTTTCCATAGGTAAAGCTTTAAAAGTCCCTACAGACCATCAGTTTAGACTTAACTTCGAATAATGCCCCTATAAATATTGCTATAACTCTGGAACTTGCAGCAATACATAACGTGTATCACAATTAACAATTTTACATGTAGGCACACCTGGCACGTGTTTGAATTTGCGTATATGTGTGGTTCTTAAATTTTTTTGGGGAGGTTAAGTGCTTAGGCAATAGCCAAAATCAGAAGTTATGTAATGCATGTCACTTCCATGTTAATTTTTGATCATCATCCACCCCTCTCTATCAGGCAGGTTGGACAGCGGACCCCAAGAAAACATGGCAGAGGGAAACTATAAGGAAAAAAGTGCACTACCGGGGCCAATGGAACTGATCAGGCAGCTGTACAGTCACCTGATTACTTCCACCTAACAAGCGACAGATGGCTTGCCAGATTTACATGCACAGATTTACATGCACTACAGCAACCAGGAGTGTGTGCAAAACCTCCTGCTGCTAACATATATCATATGTTGGTGGCAGCAAAAGGATTTAATAAATCTACAAATCTACTGAAGAAGGCTTGAAGCCTTTTTATAGGATTTATTAAAAAAAAAAAAAAAAAAACATGGTAAAAAAAATTATGCCTATTGTAGTCCTAAAAGGCTGTGCAAACTATAACGGCTCATGTACACGGGGCGCTTGGAAAACTCTTCTGAATGATGGAAATGGACTGCTGGAAAACGTAGGTTAAAAACCGTCAGTTTAGCTGCATTTGCATACCGCATTTATGTGCATTTAGAAGCTTTTTTAAAAGATAACCTCAGGAGACCCTCCCAAATGCCCAGAATGCACTGAAAAATAGTAAAAAAATTAACTATTTCAAACATATTGAGAGGAATAGAGAGAGCAGAAGCAGAGAGGGCAGTATGTATTGAGATTACCTGTCTTTTCTGGTTGTATTCACTATGGATCCCATCATGAGCATAATGCAGAACGTTCTACCATTTTTTCCTTCACGCGAAACCTGGAACTGACTGCCCTGGTGTACTGGGTCCATTTGAATACATGGAAAACGCTTTGCATGCATTTCTGATGATGAAAAAAGGCTCTGGACAACATCCAGACATGGAACAGTTAAAAAACGCTGATAAACCGCAAACGCTTATAAACGCGGTTAACCGCATTTATACACGTTTACAAGCGCTCGGCGTTTGAAACGCCGGTAAAATCTACTCCTGAACGCAAGTTTGGTGTGTTCAAAAAAACAACTGTAAACGCAACTGCCTGTAAACGACTATGTGTACATGTACACATAGGAAAACATTAGGGAGAGTTCAGGGGCTTCTGAAAAAAACGCTGAACAGCTCCTGAACGTCAGTTTAGGAGCTGCAGTGTACATGAGCCCCAACAATGGACTTCTCATACTTGGTCCTTTTTGGCCTGTTAAATATATTTTTGAAAGCACTTAGATTGAGAAGTAGAAAAAAATATTTGTTGATCCTGCCAAAAATCTAGTCCACTGATAACTTCTTGTCCTCTATTTTTGTCCTGTACTTTTATCAGTTAAATAATTCCCTGTGAGAAAAGGCGAAAGGGAAGTGTTTGTAGACTGAATCAAGAGAGCCCAGGATGACAACATTGCTTCTACATACTGTAGAATCAGTGCGGAGAGTGTGCACTGTTAGACTAGGACAGGAAGTATGTCACTACTAGGTGCACGAGCTGAAAAAAAAAAAAAAAGTAACCAAAAAAACTGCTGCAGCCACCACATCGGGTAGCGTTAGTATAATGTAAGTTCAACAAAAATTGTGGCTTTTGGGTTTAGATACTCCTTCTGGTTCTAGATAAGAATGTGTACCTGAGCATTTTCCTAGTTCTGAGACCCGGCTGTCAACTGACATCCCCAAATTCCCCCTAGAGATTTGTTTTCTATAGTTTAAATAAGCTTTAATGACTTCTGTAGACTCATCATTTATGTTGTCATTTCTTTGGAGCAATTATTCACTATATTGGTATAACCTGCTAGTTTGGGTACATTGCTCAAAATTAAATAGAAATGCTGAGTGGAAATTAAAACCAATCAATGAGCTATCAATGCATTCACATTGAAACTATGCTCAATTTACATTATGTAGATTTTTCTGTATTCCACTGAATCCAAAGTACACAGAGACTATGTCTTTTGTGAAAACTGTGTGATATTTAATCCTCTATCTTTTCTTCCAACACCACTAATCACATTTAAACTGCCAAATCAGAGTAAACTTGGCTGCACTACTGGAAGAATAGGTACTAACCCCCCTTTTCTGGCTAGAGATGCATATTAATCACCTGCCGCCCACTGACAGCACATTCACTCCAGAGGCAGAAGCCCACGCCCCCTGGGGTGAACAGCAGCAAGATCTAGTGACCAGGGATCTTGTTCCCTGGTACCCTCCTGCATGTCAGCGGCCAGGGTATCATGTGATCGTTAAGACTAATCATAGTGCTCACATGATAATATGTATGCAAAAAGGTCATGAATGGCTTTCATTCATGAACAGCTTGCTAACTGTTATGATGCAGTCACTGGCCCATAGCTATCACATGGTACCTGGCACCCTGTACCATGTGACTCACAGCATGTCAACAGTAAGCAAGCTGTCATGAATGGAAAGCAATTCATGACAATTAACTATTGCTTATAACAGTGATCATCACTGTTATAAGCAAAAACAGTGTGTGGGAAAAAAAAGCCCCTGATAACCCCTCCAGAGTATTAGTGTCACTACGGTCACAGTGAACTACTCTAATAAATGTATGTGTATATATTATAGCAAAAAAAGAAAAAAAATATTTTTTTTACATACTGCAGTCAGTATCTCTAATTACTGCTACTCCAGTCATAAAAAATAATGTGAACAATGAAATAATTTTTCATTTTTCAAACAATTCTGACAAGAATTCTGACAAAAATTACAACTTCAAAAAACTCACCATGTCTCTTACTAAATAGGTTGGGCTGTCTACTTTCCAAAAAGGGGGGGTATTTGTACTGTCTTGGAATTTAAAGGCCTCAAGAAAGGAGATGCTGTCAGTACATCACTGAGCAATTGGAAGTTAAAGGATAAGTTCACCTTTGTACAAAAACAATAAATGCACATTTTTTTGTAGGTAACAAAATGTGCATTTATTATTTTTGTCTGCAGGAGCCTGTAAAGCATTGGATCAGCAACCAGCATATATATTCCCAAAGGTAAACTTATCCTTTAAAGTAGCACAGTGCTGAATAGCAAAAAAAATGCCCTGGTCATGAAGAGGGTAAAACCTTTTGGATGTCAAGTGGTTAATTAATTTACAGACATTATTTCACTTTATATATCCATTAATAAAACAATTCACTGGTAATGTAACTTACATAAGCATCTGAGGCAGCATAGAGTCTCTGCTCATCAGTTAGAGGAAATTTGTCCCAGCTGCTACAACGGACCGAGTTATCCTTCAGAAGCTGCTTGCTAAAGAGGTGTTTAACTAAGCCATTCAAACTCCACTTTTCTTTACATTTAAGCTGCACAACCGGAAAAAAAATGAATACACGTTTATCACTGTTTCGTTGTACGATCACAGATTTCATAAAATAATCAAATAATGTACTGTAATTTTGTAAATAACATTTCTTTAAAAGATAACCTGATTTCAGATATCTTGCACCCCTTTTAAGGGATAAGCTTACCTTTATAAAAAAAAACAAACAAAAAAAAAACAGGAAAGACAGGAAAGCCAATTTTATAAGAATAAAAAAAATGTTGCACAACATACTTTTTCATTGGCCACATCAGTAAGCTCAATAAATCCCTTCAACTTCACATCAGTGTCACTCAGTAGTTTCCATTGATCCCCTTCAATCCCCACGCCAACTTTTTTTATAGACTCATCTTCAAGCAGCCTCTTCAGACCTTTAGGAAAACCTGTGCAGAGTAAACTGTTATAAACTTGATCATAGATTTCTCAGTTAACATCATTCAGAAACAAGAAGAACTAAGATACATATTAAAGTATATGTGAATCCTTACCTTATAAAACCCATTCTGTTTAACATAGAAATGAAAGGCAAAACACGTGTGCATGTGCGTGTGTCTTTATAAATAACTTTTTAATACGTGATAATATAATCTCTTTTCTCAGCTGCAAAGGGGGCTTAGAGAGGCGGGGTTGGAGACAGCAGGGGGTATCAGCAGGAGGCAGAGAATCAACAATACACTGATCTTCCCAGTGAATAGCTGTGCAGGGGGGCATATCAGCACAAGTCTTGGCCTTTAGAGGACAGTCAGGCTATTCTCCCAGCACAGCCAGAAAACTGACCATGCTGGGATGGATGTGCTCTCAAGTCTACTATGATCAGTTTGAAATAGAAAAGCAGGGGGGGCTGGCAGGATCACCAGGTATTTCACACAAAGAAAGCAATGCAAAGACAACAGAAAACTTTTTAAAACAAGTATATGATACAACAGACACTTATCGGGAACATGAAATGTTGCAGTAATATACACGTTAAACTTTTTCAACATATGTAATGGTATTACCTCCAATGCACCACTTAAACATCTTATGCTCAACAGTGTACAGTACATATGGGTAACAAGTTAAACATGGCGTTTTCACCACATGTTAGGGATGGAAGACACTTTCAAGCAAACTTATAAATTAAAAAAAAATTGCCAAGTTCACTTTCTGTTCATCTGGAAAATGCTAGATGATGATTGGCTGTAACGTTGACCCGGTATTATTTTAATACACTGAATCATTAATCAAGAATCAATATACAGATAGGGAATTCTGACATTTCTCCAGCATTTCTAATCTGCATATTCTTCTGAGTCAGTGAGTGAAAAAAGTTTAGTAAAAAGTCTAACTGTTCATATAATTAGCATTTTCAGAAAGCGGTTAACAATGGCAACCCCTGTACTCCTTTTATGACATTGTTACTTGAAATAAACTAAATCAAACAAACTGCTGCATGTATAAAATGCAGACACCATTCTTGTAGCTGCCTCCAAGTCTCTGCCTTTAGTATGAAATGCTGGCCCATTCTTCAAAAACTTTCAGGTAGTTTCAAGCTTGCCCACCACCACCTGTCCCTACATCTCGAACAGCCTAGCACTATAAAGGGCTGCCTAATGAGACATAAGAAAAGTGAAAGAGGCAGGAAACGATTAGGAAGCCTCATCGCTATCAGCAAGTGTTTTCAGGTTCATCATTAGGATGAAACAGCAGGGGCTAAAAGCTGCCTGTCTATGCAGTTTGTTTTAAAGGCTGCATTCACCTTGCGCCCGCCCACTCCGGCTGTCAGAGCAGCACCTTGCCATTGGGCTACGGGTGGGTGACATCAAGTTACGGCTGCACGCTCGGAGCTGGTTTGTCCTGTGGGGCTCAATGTAGAGGTGTGCGGGGCAGGAAGAGGAGAGACAGAAGCGCTTGCCGGAGATGGCCCGGAGTTAACAAGACATACTGCAGAACACCATGCCTCACTTTCCCACGGCCCTGAATGCAATTAATCCGCAGAATCCCATGTGACATCAAGCTGTAGAGCAGCTCCAGAAACCAGAGGAGAGATATCCTTTCCAGGCTGTACATCCATTCCTGCTTAAAAGGGGACCTCTGGTTGATTTCATCTTACATATTGTACTGCGTATTTTAAATGCGCATCTGGTGAGTGTGCATTTTTAACATATTCCCTGCACTTCACCAAATGGAATAATTGTCACATGGAACATATCTTCACCTGAGCACAGGATTTTATCTTATGAGCACAGGATTTCCACTTAGCATCAATTAAGGACAATATTACACTCAAACTGGACTTTTATTTAAATATATTTATTTTACCCATTGCATATTGTCATATCAAATATCACTTCGCATATACGCACTTGGCACTTTAATATTTACATTTTATCATTTACAATAATATTGGATGTTTTCTAAGCGCTGCACTTTTTTTCTGATTACCTTTACACAAAAAAAAAAATAATTAAATGCACAGATTTTTGCAGTAAAAAAAGCGCATTTAATATTTTTACCTGCAGGAGCCTGGAAAACATTTCGCCAGCAATCATAAGATCACAGGTGCAATGTGGGCTCCTGCAGACAAGTTCCCCGGCTTTTAGAAGTGCCTCTGTACAGGCTTTTTGAAAGCCAGAGGACATGTCAGTGGCTCAACAATGCCCCACAGTCCATTGAAACTACAAGTCTGTCTGCCAACTTTTTAATTCACAGGAATCAGTGAATGAATTACACAGCTGTGTGAGTGAAGCCCTGCATAGCTGCGCTGTTTTTAAAAAGTGGCCATGAGAGAGGGAAGAAAAAACCCTGTCTGTTCTCACAATGGATAGGGGGACGGGGGAAGGCATGTTCCATCCTAAATACATGTGGAACAAGAAGCTAATAGTAATACCCAGGTCTAAGGAATGGGGCGGCTGACACTCCGATCCCTACAGAAAAAAGCAATGACAGAGTGGTAACCCTGTCAGAAAGACAAGCAAATAATAAACTGCTTTTTGGCTACACATTCTGCAAATCTGACTATAGATCCACCATCCCCTCCCTCCTAGATTGTAAGCTCGAAAGAGCAGGGCCCTCGATCCCCTCATGTTTTGCATTGTATTGGTACTGTTCTGTCACATGTTCTGTCCCCCTTTGTAATGTACAGCGCTGAGCGAACTATTGGCGCTTTATAAATACTGAATAATAATAATAATAGATCGACTGCCTGTGGTCATTAAAGTATCCTGTCAAAAAAGTGAGAAGCCTCAAACAGCCACTAGCTGCCTCCTGGATAACATTACGCTCTAGTGGTGGTGAAGTCACTAATAGTGAAACTGAATAGGCTTAGCTTACCTGTCCTAAATAAGTGTGCAACCAAAAAGCCAGAGAACATCAGCTTTTATCTGTAGACTCTTACAAAGGTGTTTTGCTACACAATAGCCTTAGTAATTGGAGCTATGAAGCATAGTGCTAAAATGACTGCATATGTCAGTAATTTGTTGTAATTTCCACCTTCAAAACAACATGAAAGCAGCTATTACAGGTTCACACTTTTACCAAGTATGAGAACATACAAAGAGTAATCTGTTCAGTCTCAGTTCCAACCCATTTAGTGTTCAAAACAAGAAAAGATTAATTGGGACTTATACAGTAAGGTAATTTAAAGTACAGTATACCTGTCATGGATGAAACATGAAATAAGTAGCATTCCGACTCTGAAAGACAGATTTGAATAAGTGAAACTTTTCCAGTTTTCCCTTTAATGTAAACAGGAGGCCATTCAATGTCAAACCCAATTGCTGCTCCTTCTGAAAGTTTCTCTCTAAAAAAAAAAAAAAAAAAAAAAAAAAAAAAAAAAAAAAAAAAAAACAAAAAACAAAATGCAAGAAAATAAATTTAAAACATGGTAAAATAATTTGGTTATGTTTTCTCTAACAATGTTCTAAGTGACAACTGACATGTTTGAAGAAACACTGATCAAGATTTGGAGGGGGAAATGGAATTTCCAGGACAAAGCTTATTCTGGCACTTTTTGCTTATATGTAACGATCAGGTTTTTTTTGCTAGAAAATCCCCAAACAATATACAGTTAGGTCCATATATATGTGGACACAGGCACAATTTTAGTTTTTTTTTCTTCAGGTATTTACAAAAACATATTGGAGGAATGGTTTAGGAATTACAGCTCTTAAGAGTAGCCATCCACCCTTTTTCAAGGGACCAAAAGTAATTGGACAATTGAATCAAAAGCGGTTTCATGGCCAGGTGTGGGCTACTCCTTTGTTATTTCCTTATCAATGAAGCAGGTAAAAGGTCTGGAGTTGATCCTAAGTGTGATATTTGCATTTGGAATCTGTTGCTGTGAACCTACATCATGCATTCAAAGTAGCTGTCCATGCAAGTGAAACAGGCCACTGTAAGGCTTCAAAAATTAAACAAATCCATCAGAGAGATAGCAGCAACATTAGGAGTGGCCAAATCAACAGTTTGGTACATTCTGAGGAAAGAAGAACGCACAGGTGAGCTCAGCAACATAAAAAGGCATGGACGTCCACAGAAGACAACAGTGGTGGATGATCGCACTCTCTATGGTAAAGAAAAACCCATTCACAACATCCAGACAAGTGAAGGACATTCTCCAGGAGGTGGGCAAGTCTACAATCAAGAGAAGACTTCACGAGAGCAAATACAGAGGGTTCACCACAAGGTGCAAACCATTCATAAGCCTGAAGAATAAAAAAGCCAGATTAGTCTTTGCCTAAAAACATCTAAAAAAGCCAGACCAGTTCTGGAAAAGCATTTTTTGGACGGGTGAAACGAAGATTAATCTGTACCAGAATGTTGGGGAGAAAAAAGTGTGGAGAAGGCTTGAAACAGATCCAAAGCACACAACGTTATCTGTAAAACTTGGTGGATGCAGTGTGATGACCTGGGCATGCATGGCTTCCAGTGGCACTGGGTCATTGGTGTTTATTGATGGCATGACAGAAGACAGAAGCAACCGGATGAATTCTTCAGTGTTTAGAGATATGCTGTCAGCCCAGATTCAGCCAAATGCAGCAAAGTTGATCGGATGGCATTTCACAGTACAGATAGACAATGATCCAAAACACACTGCAAAAGCAATCCTGGAGCTTTGGAAGGAAAAGAAGTGGAATATTCTGCAATGACCAAATCAATCACCTGATCTCAACCCAATTGAGCAGCATTTCACTTGCTGAAGGCAAAACTAAAGCAGAAAACCCACAAAAGAACAACTGAAGACAGCTGCAGTTAGAGCCTGGCAAATTATTAGAAAGGAGGAAACCCAGTCTTTGGTAATGTCCATGGGTTCCAGACTTCAGGCAGTCATTGCCAATAAAGGATTCTCAACAAAATATTAAAAAATGAACATTTTATTTATGATTATATGCATTTGGCCAATTACATTTGAGCACCTGAAAATGGAGGGACTGTGTATAACAATGTTTGAAGTTCCTAAAATTTGTATTTGATATTATGTTCACCCCCTTGAATTAAAGCTGAAAGTTCAAATTCATATGAATTGTTTCATTTTAATTTATTCTGGTGGCATACAGAGCCAAAAGTATGAAAATTGTGCCTGTGGCCAAATATATATGGACAATTTCTGTATTGTTTCAGATGGGCTGGAGGTCAGCTATCACCACATCCAATATAATGAACAGTACAATATCAAGTGTTTGAAGTCTGTTGAGCACCTTAAAAATCCCCCTCCTTTCTGTACAATGTTAAATATATATGGACCTAACTGTATATTGTTTTAAAGCAGAGGCTCTACTGTAGAGAATTGGTGGGTTTTGCAATTTTCTTAGTCACGCGGTATTTGCGGTTTAAATCAATTTTTTGGGGGAAAAATATACACTTTTTTCTGAATTTTAACCACTTCCCGCCTGGAATGTACTGCAGACGGGAGAGTTGCTGCAGGCAAAGTGACATACTCATACGACGCTTTGCTCTTCCGGGTTTAGAGCGCACATGCGCACGCCCCCCCCCCCCCCCTCCGTCATTAGTTGTAGGAGGTGTATGTCAGCAGGTCTCAGCCAGTGATTTTGGCCAGGACTCAGCCGATCTTCTACAGTGAATGGAGATGCAGAGCTGTGCCTTTATTTGTAAATACAGGCACAGGATCTAGCTGGTTCTTCTCTCCCTGGAACCATTTTGTTCCAGAGAGAGAAGAAAGACATCACACATGAGTAAAAGCAGCACACTGCACCCACACACGTTAGACATTTTAACCCCTTGATTGCCACATTTAACCCTTTGATTGCCCCCTGCCAGTGCCATTAGTAGTGTCAGTGTACAATATTTTTCACTGATCACTGTATTAGTGCCACTAGCAACGTCAGGTAGCATGAAGGTCAGTTAGCGTCCCTCCCAGCTAGGGTCAGCTAGCGTTAGATTGCCCGCACACTATCGCACTCATGCTATAGGTCACCGTCATTACTAGTATAGTGTTTGTACAGATCAATAGATTGATCACGATCAAACACTATACCAGTGCCCCCTTAGTATTAGTGTCCCCAAAAATGCAGTGTTAGCAGGATCATCCCCGTTCACTGCCAGCACTAGGGTTTAGCCCCAACGCTCCCCCCCACCCCTAACAAGAAGTGCAGTGTCAGTATAATATTTGATCACTGTCACCTGTAATACATTGCACACAAAACCGCAGTGTTCACAGAATCAGGCCTGATCTCTGTTAGCACTTGCCGGTACATTTTTTTTAGTAGTAGTTCAAGCAGTCTCTGACAGCCAGGTGCTCTTTTTCCCATGAGTCACACTAGGTAACTGTAAATTTAGAGTCCAAAATGTCCAACGAAAGTTACACTAGTGAAGAGGCCTACAGGATTCTGAGCGTGTCAGGTAAGAGCGAAGGGGAAGACTCCCCGACTCAATCAGCCTCAGAACACAAACCTGTAGACAGCAATGGCACCCTGACAGGTAGCTCGGACGTTGGAAAAGAGGTCTCTGTTGAGATCAGGCGTACCCGACCCCATGAAGCTGAAGTGCTATGATCGCATGACTCATATGCAGCAGAGTGCCAGTACTAGTGCCGAACTACCTTTTGGTGAACTGGCGAGCAACAGCTGCCTAGTAAATCCTGGTCTTTTTTATACTAGCACTGCAGTATCACTTGGTGACGTGGCGAATCCCATAACTGCAGTACAAGCTGGTGTGGTGGCCAGCACAACTAGTGTCCCGCAGCCACCAAGAATTCGCACACAGGCCCATAGAGCCCCTAGTGTCCTTCCAGACATGCTTGCAAATCCTGATTGGCAGCCCACAGATTCTGCAGCACCCGTACTTCCCCCATTTACTGCCCAACCCAATCAGGCGGAAACAAATTTAACTCCCTTTGATTTTATGGAGCTGTTTTTCACAGAAGATTTGTACAATTTGATTGTGGGCCACAGAACTTTATATGCTCAACTATATATTGCCGCAAACACAAATTCAAACCTTGCCAGACCATTTGCATGGAAACCCATTACGGTTTCCAAATTTAAAGCTTTTTTGGGCCTAACCGTCAACATGGGCATTGCAAAAAAGAATGAGTTGTGGTCGTATTGGTCCACAGACCCGATTCATCATATGCTCGTGTTCTCTGCTGCCATGACCAGGCATAGATATGAGACGATAATGTGCTTCATGCATTTCAGTGATAAAAAACTATCATTCCCGGGGTGACCCTGAACATGACAGGCTCTACAAAATTCAGCCCCTCATAAACCACCTCACTGAGAAATTTGCAGATGTGTATATGCCCCAGCAAAACATCTGCGTGGATGAGTCCCTCATTTACTTTACTGGCCGCCTTTCATTCAAACAGTACATCCACAGCAAGTGTGCCAGATATGGGGTCAAATTGTATAAGCTCAGTGAGAGGGCCACAGGCTATACGTACAAATTTAGGGTTTATGAGGGAAGAGACACCGAAATACAGCCCCCGACTGTCCAGACCACATGGGGAGCATGGACTTGGCGTCCTGTTTGTTCCGTAAGGGGTACCACTTATACGTGGATAATTTGGATACAAGCATGCCACTATTTAGACATTTGTACAATCTTGGAATTGGCTCATGTGGCACCGTGCGACCTAATCGCAGGGGCTTCCCCCAACGGCTTGTAAATACCTGACTTAGAAAGGGGGAGAAAGCCTGCTTGAGAAATGAAGAATTGCTCGCAGTGAAGTGGAAGGTCAAACGGGATCTTTTTGTCCTCTCTTCCATTCACTTTAATTTTTTTTTTTTTTTATACACTGTCACTGTACCAAAAAAAATTTTTTTGATCACTTTTACTGCTGTCACAAAGAATGAAAACATCCCTTATGGCAGCAATAGGTCTGTGACACATACTCTTTATGGAGGGATCAGAGGTCAATAAGACCCCAAATCCCTCCTCTGCCCTTAAAAGCATTCAATCACACCAAGACCGAGTACACTGAAAGTGATGTCAGGTCATCACTTATAGTGTACTGTTTAAAGCAGTAGTAAACCACACACAAAAAAAAAAAAAAAAAATTCCTGTGCTAAATAATGTCATTGTGCTAGTATGCATCACATATTAGCACATTATGAAAGACTTACCTCCAGTGGTGCGCTGTCACTGCCGGCAGGTCTTCCATGTTCCATGTTCACCCAGTCTTCTTTCTGGAGTTGCAGGCTCTGGCCACTTGATTGGCCGAGCCGCAATGATGTCACTCCTGCACATACGGGCAGGAGTCTCGACTGTGGCACAGAGCTCTGAAGGAACTGCGTGGGTATGCCGTTCCTTCAGAGTGCACCCGCTGGTGACGTCATCGGC